TCACAGAAAAGCCCAAGAGACTTCAGTGAGTTGAGAAATAATCAATCAGACTTTATCTCACAAAAATCAAAGCAAAAACAACAAATAAGCTAACTTCCATTGAGTCCATTCTGGCACACAGCACCCCAATAAGACAGAGTAAAACTGCCCCATAGGGTTGCCCAGGCTGTGATCTCTATAGAAGCAGATGGCTTCATCTTTCAGAGCACCTGGTGGATTCATGCTTCCAACTTATTGGTTGGCAGTACAGCACTTAATCCACCAAAGCCACAATGGGAAGAGTACAAGCTTCGAAGAAAAATATTAGGGTAGAGGATGAGGGAGGCGGGGGTGGAGAGGGGAGAGAAGAGCGAGGAAAGAGGGGAGGGAGGGAGAGAGGAAAAAAGAGAGAGAGAGAACTCTTTCATGTCTTCTTACCTTGATAAAACAATGGTTCTACACTAGGCTGCTAACCAGAAGGTCAGTGGTTCAAATGCACTAGATACTTCCTGCTCCTGTAAAAACTACAACCTAGGAGACCATATGGGGAAGGAAGTTCTACTGTCATTTGGGGTTGTTATGACTCAAAAATGACTCATGAACACATAAAACCAACACTGAAGGATAAATAAGCATTCCTTAGATCCATACTTGACCAGGTGATTGGGTCTTGCCCCAGAACTCTGTGTTCTCCTATGAGATTAGCTTCCCAATTTTCATGTCACTGACAGAAGACTTCAAGTCAACACTGCTATAAAGATGCTGTGAGGAAGAAGATTTGCAAAAAGAGAAGGAGTGGAGATAAAGTGGAGTAAGTAGGTGAGAAAACATTTAGGAAACTGCAGAGATGCTTAAAGGCAAAATTCAGGAAGTTTTGCACATTAACACCTTCATCTATCCCACAAGCTATGTTCTTGTATACTTTTGTGTCAGTACTAAATACAGGTGATTCTCCATGGGGTTTGCAGAGACTGTAAATCATATGCTTTGGGTTGGCAGCACAACTCTTTACTGCTCAGCACCAAAGCTCCCCTCTTCAAACCATCAAGGACTCATCAGAATTTGGGGAGTTTCATGTAAAGGTAATCCCTAATTTACAGTGAGGTTGCATTTTGAAGAGAAGTCTGGCTTTAAGTCAGTTCTGACTTAAGTGGAATACCTCAGGGTTCACTTTTTGTTCACTTTTATTATTATTGCCATTTATTACCAGTTTCCTAATAAGATACTGGTAAAGATAGATTTCTATTCATCTTTGGAGATGGAAGCATTACATCTAAAAATTACAACATGAGCAAATTATACACTAAAACATTGTATGTAGTATAACAACAATACATGTAGTATGTATAATAATATTACTGCATATTTCTACCAATAAATGTATCAAAAAACACAATGATAAGTACAGTTTGCCTTAAACACATTTAAGTCAGACATTATCTAGTGATGCAGGAAAAGGCATTTATTTGCCTAATATATAACCAAGGAGCCCTGGTCACACAATAGTTAAAGCGCTCAACTATTAAACACAAAGTTTTTCATAGTGGATTAGATGGATTGGATCTGCCAACAAAACATAAAGAGGAAGAAAGGTAAAGAAACAGTAAGAAGAAGAAAATAAAAACACAGAAAGAGGGAGGAAAGATGAGAGGGGAGGGAGAAGGAAACCTGAGATGGACAGTGAAGAGAGGGAGGGAAGGCCGTCTGGACGCCAGTTTCTGGAAGTAATTCCGCGTGTGGGAAAAATTTGCAACACAGACTTTGGGCTTGTTGTCAATAGAGGCCAGTCCTTGGGCAAAAACATCAAGTAGGAAAGGCGGAGGGTCAGGAAAAGAAAAGGCCCTCGACAAAATGGATTGACACAGTGATTGTAATAATGGACTCAAGCATGACAGAATGGTGCAGGATAGGGCAAGGTTCAGATCTATTGTTCATAGAGTTGCTATGAGTCACGGCTGACTCTATTGCATCTAACAATTCTCATCAATGCCAGAAATAGACTCTCTATTGATACACAGTCATCCCTCAATATAGGAGGGGAATTGGTTCCAGGACCCCTGAGAATAGCACAATCCACAAAGTTTAAGTCCTTTCTGAAAAATGGACATAGGAAACGGGAAATATTCAGTGTGAATAACAATGTATATGAACTTTGTAAATAAGCCAATATAAAATAAAAATTTTATTTAAAAAAAATAACAGTCACACATAGCCTGAGCGTATCTTCCTGTATTTACCTCTAAATTGCTTGGAATACCTAACACAATGTAACTGCTATGTAAATAGTACTTTACGTTCCCTCCTTAGCCTTTGAGACATTGTTTTGACCACATCTTCCTGCCCCACTGATAGCAACTGAATTATGATACCCAATTGATTCATTGATGCTTGATTTAATTATGTGGGATACTCAACTCAGAGATAATGTCAACTATACATGAAAATAGACAACAATTTGAAAGTAAGTCTTTTACTTCTTCCATCAGTCCTGTGCTATTTCAAAACTTGCCGATATACAAAGTAATGAGAACTCCAGTACACAGCTCTCCAATTACTCCCAAAGCCTACAGGGTCAGGGGGCAATATGTACGAAAAGGGCTGAATATTAAACTCCAGGAAACTTCCTCCCAGCAGCTGCACCTCCCCAGGCTCAGGAGCTGGTGTGGAGACAGATGGGTATTTGGTTAGAAGAGACACAGCTGATCTATAGACAGAGGAAGATGGGTAACAGACACACAAACACACAGAGAGAGAGAGAGAGAGAGATAGTTAGGAAGGGAAGAAGGGGAAGGAGAGGGGAAAAGAAGACAAAATGAGAAAGATGTGCCTACATCAAGAATGATAAAATGCTGCTAACAATTTAATCTGAGAACGTAAGAGATTGAGAGTAATTACAACAAAGTCAAATCATTGCTGACCACATAAATTCTTCTTAATTTCTCTTTCCTTCTTTCTCCAAACTATAAAGGGAATATTGTAGCTCTAGGCAAGTTTTTGACCCTATGTAGTTCAGAGAGATTAAGAGTATTTACAAAAATTATTTCATTACAAGGCACTGCAAACTACAGCAGGTAACTACAGATAACTAAAAACTACTGAGTTTGTAATTAGGTTTTCCAAAGAACATTCTTCACATGTTTAATATGAAATATTAAAATAAAAATAAAGAATTTAAAACTATTAAAAATAATTTTAAATATGTTAAAATGCATATAGAGAAAAATGCAAGATAATATTCTTCTTAAATGAGAAAAATCCATTCTAATATATCATATTATTAAATTGGATTTCATAAAGGTTTTGGAAACTTATTCTTTTTTTTCTTATTGAAGTAATGACCCTTGTTGGGGTCCATAATTATTTTTGTTTTAATATATGGTCATTTTGACAGGTAAGTAGGTGGTATGAGGTTAAGTATTAATATAATTACTATCCTAAAATACAAACAATAGTAGATAGAAACCTCTGCTTACTATCAGACTTAATAACACTTTTACAATTGCATATTTCTTTATTTATCCTTGAAAGGAAAATACTAAATCAAATTAATTTGGGGTGACACAATGGAAATTAAAAACATACTATTTTTTATCCAAAGAAGCTAAAAATGATGTGTAAAAATAGATCAAGAATAGAAATTTGTATCACTGTAATTATAAATAATAAAAATAATAAATTCTTTATATAAAGTAAGTATGGGAGCCATTCAGAAAGAAAAAGTATAAATACCACACAAAGTTGATATTTTTTGCTAGTATAAGAATCAGAATTCACTGGAATGCTATTATTTCTAGTGTATCTTCCACTTATTATTATGCAACTTTAATATCATGCAATAACTCTTGGATTCATCACCCCCCCAGATGGATAAAAGCTGGTTGATTTTCTATACTATTTTTTCTTCAGAACATTGCATGTTTTCTTCAAAAATAGAAATGCATGAGTGGAAGTATTTTGCAAAAAGACAAAAATCTGACAGGAGTTAGAGGGTCTTCTGACTTTTCTATCAGAGAGCAAAACTTCTCTCAGGGATCACCCTAACCACCCTGCCAGAAATAAACCTCAAGGCAGGGCCTTTCTACATGTGGTACGTCTGTGGTAGTGTGTGCCAGGAGCATCAGCTGTATGTCGGGACGCATGCTGGTCAGGCAGAGACTAAAAGGATTAGATTTTCTTTCAAAATACTTGCCTCTCTCCTATGAAGGGAAAGCACCTAATATTCCTTCAAAGGCCTTTATCAGAAAAGGATTCATAGAATCCAAGAAATGCCAGCAGCAATCAGTTCCAGCAAGTCCTTGATTTGCTGCTGTGTT